GCTGGTGTTACTTTTACTACTCCTGTTGTCATTGCTGGTGGCCACTAGTGGTCGTCGAGAAAGAATCAATTCTCGTGAATATTTTATGTGAGCGCCTCCGCCCTCCCGGAAACTATCCTCGTTTAATGTCTATAACCGTAACCACTCGGCATTATCTGTTCTTTTAAATCGTCCATTGAAATACGTCCACATCATTGCTTTTACAATGACCTACAACTATTATCTGAGAGAAGGCCTTTCAAGTCGATCGACTTCTCTCTGCTTCAAGGAGACTTCGATTCGCTTCATTCCTTTCTCACTTAAGGATTGAATTTTCAAAAATAAAATTCCAATATGACAATAAGTTCATCGAAAAAGTTCAATTGATGCTCATTAATAATTTGATAAAAATCAAAAAAATTCATAATAATATTCATAATAAATTAATTTATATGATCTATAATAATGATAAAATGAATGAATCTCATTTAATCTTGTTGCTCATTGTAAATCAAGATAGATACAAAGATTTTATGATCTTTCTCATTAGAAAAAAAAGAACAAAAAAAACGGAAAAAAAAAAAAAAGAAAATAAGAAGAATTTAATCCTAGACGATCGCGTCGAAATGAACGATGCAATTCATCCTCTTTCTCTTTCTTTCTTTCTTTCTCTCTGGAACGTACTCGCATTAGCGTCACGAACGAATGAATTAATGAGTGTGCCGAATCTCTCTCTTCGGGGTTGTCCCTCCTTGCAAGAAAAGCTTCGCGATCGTGATACGTAAATATACGTAACGAATGGTAACGACGAGGGACCGTGATGATGTGGTGTTCGTTGATGATGTGTAGCAGCTAGAATGGAAGGTGTTAGTGAGTCACAACCTGACGTTCGACAGGGGGTGGGTAGAGAAAGAGTAAAAGGAGGAGGAGGAAAAAAAATAGATGGTAGTGGCTGTTGTAGTGGTAGAAGCGGTATAAATAGAAATGGAGGGTAGCAGGTGTTCAGTACTGTCGGTGCTGGTACTGACAATGGCTACTGCTGCTGCTGGCCCTGCGCTATCATACAGAGCTGCCCACACTTAGAGAAAACGGCAGTGGGACGGATGTTCCCAGGAGATTATTGATCGTGCGCGAAGATACTTTTACTTCGACGTAGCGGACAGACTTTCACGGAGGTACTTTTATTTTTTATTTTTTTTTATTTTCTTATCTTTCTCTATCTCTTTCTATCTTTCTCTCTTCTTCAATTAATCGGTACTTAAATAGCGCAATAATGTGCTATGATGCTTTATACTGATTAGTTTGAAACTTTTCTTTAATTTATTTCTCTCATTGCAAAGAGAGAGAGAGAGAGAGAGAAAAAAAAAAGATGATTAGTTTCAATGTAAATTAGTTAAGTTGCAATTGATTGATCTTGATTTTGGTATTTTACAATTAATATCGTACGATTGAAAAATAAGTTCTCTGAAATTTTAAGAGAAAATTTAATCATGTTTATTTTCGTTTAAATTTGTGATTATCTGTTCATTCTCATCTAAACTTCCCGATGACGTTCACACAATTACGTTGCCTATAACTTCTTCTTGAATAAGTCGCAAAACACGCAAGCACTGGGTAAATGACGTGCGATTGAAAACTCGGAGATTAGAGATCACAGCTGTAATAACTTTTTCCCAGACTTATAATATAGGTTTTTTTTTTCATAATTCTGATGCAAGCTTGAATTTAACAATTTTATTGAAAACGAATATGAACGGACTCAGAATATGTTGATAAAAAATTTGATTACATTTTTCTGCCTATTCATCGTTCTATAAAAATCTGTAATAAAAAGTAAACCATTATAACTACGTATAATAGAAACTTAACTATATTTAAAACTTACAATGTCTAAAACTTTTGATAATTGCGTATTACTCCTATCTGTAAACACATTCGAGATCGTCATTTGTTCGACGAGACATTAGATCATCTGATCCCAAACGAAAAAATCAAAAAACAATGTGAAAAGTTTTTAAATAACATTAAAACGACGATTTGCTAGTCGAAAATTGTTTAAATATTAATCAAATTTTTGAATAATTAATGAAGTACTGAAAAAAGATCAATGAAAAAAAATGGTGTGCTTAGGGGATAATCTGCCATCCTTCTTTCCATTGGGAAAACGCCCAGTAGATAGAAGCGGGGTAAGGCGCGCGCGCGCGCACATCATCTTCTCTCTCTGCGCCAGTGTCAATTTCACAAACATTGCTGAAGTGGAAGGGGAAGGGGAGGAAGACGACCAATGATGTGAGAGAGAGTCACAAAAGAATCTCCGCGTCACTCTCTCCCACTCTCTTTCTCTCTGCGGGCTAGCCCCCGATCGCTGCCTCCTCAATTCGATCAATGGAGCTGTACCAAGTTGGCCGGGTAAACGCCACACCCCCAAATTTCTATTCGGCTTCACTTATCCATCCATATTTTTTCTTATCATCTTTATGGTTCCATCAAAATAACTAGATCTTTTCTAATATTTTTCATTTCCTGCCTTATTGTTTTCATCCGATCCGAGTTTATTTCTAAAACTAATAATTCCAGTAAGTTATAATCGCATTCTATTTCTTGTTCATTTTTTTAGTTTAATTCATGTAAGGTATTTTTTAATATTAAAACAAATAATACATTCATCTTATTCTGCGAAAAAGTATTTATGTAATATATCTTAATTACTCAATAGTAGGTTTTTAGAATACATTAATAATTTAGGAGAATTACTATAAACTTTCGTCATAGGAAATTGCACCCGGGAAAGTAAAAGCCAATATAGTTATAGTCTCGTCCAGGTGAAGTTAGATTCTCGAAACTCATGTGCCCTTGAACCGGAAGTAGGAAGAATAAGGCAGTAAAAAAAAAGGAATTGTACTTTCACAAGTCAATAAGCACGTGCCATCTTGCACGCAAAAGATAATAACTAAATGTTAGAGGCGGAGTCATAATATTAATATTCTTTCATTTATTCAAAATATTTAACAAAGAATATAATATTTTTTGTATGAAAGATAAAAATTCAAGTTATTTTTAAATATTAGTATCGATTGTTTTTTATCTTTAAGAACATAACGTTTATATTTCAAGAATATGTTTTCAGGAGCACACTAAACAAGTAAAAATATCATATAAGTATACGCCTAATATATCTTAATTTTCAAGTTATGAATGATTAGAAAATATTCGAAGTGTCCGTTTCTTGCCTCAACACAAACTGCTGTACGACTTATTCGGTACGCTTTGATCTTATCTAATGTGAATAATGTCCATTGACATGAAACGTACAAACTTTTGTGTAGTCAGTATCTTATTCTCACAAGTAGTGTTAACAGAGATTAGTAATGTTCTAAAATAAAGAAAATTTGGTTGTATATTAATATTGAAATAACTAACATGCATTTTATGCATGTCCGTATCAACAACGGAAATGAACTAGAAGTACGTCGACCATACAAAGAAAACTTCCCAAAAACGCAGAATATTTCCATCCATTCATAGGAATAATTGGGGGCAAGATACGGGCATTCGAACATTTCCTCTTGAATTATTTATTATTCGAAAATCAAGGTTAGATGTATGTTAATATAACATTTTTTACTTCTTTAATGTATAGATATACCACCTAAAGTTTTGTGTGATATGTATTTATAAAACACTTTATATAAACCTTTGTGTACCGTCGATTACTCGTCGCGATGAAATATCAGCAGCGATAATGGATCTATCTTACGTTTCTTTACATTTCTTTGAGTAAATCTTATTGAATTTTCCATATTCATAAACAATTATTAGTGTTTAATCATATCGATAGAATCGTATAAGTAAAAAGGACCAAAGTTATTAAGACGTCAGAACAAATCGACATTTTTAGCATCGATAATATAAAATTATTTCTGATCAGAGATCGGACATTCGGGGCTTGTCGTTCAGGTTTTCCTGTGCACGAACGGAAGGTTGGAGAAAATTGAAGCTAGTGCGCCGTGACGGTAGCACAAGGGTAAGTTCCCTTGGACGAGCCGGTGCGTCTGGGGTGGTGAGTTCACGAGAGGGAAAAAGAGGGTCGAGTCTATACTCCCAGCGGCGCATGTGTGGTTCACCTGCGAAAGGGAGACCAGCACCTGTCGCCGCACGCGCACCGGCCGACCTGCTCGCCTTATGCCTTGTTGTTAGCTCTACCAATGGCGCTACTGCTGGCAGTGGGGGCTGAGGGTGCACTGGGAACTGAGGGTGTTGCTTGCCTGTGCTTCCTCCACTACCAACGCTACTAGTCGAACTCGTGAGATCACGCGGACTAAAACAACGAGTTTTCTGTTCCTTCTTTCTCTCTCGTTTTCTTTTTTTCTTTCAAATATTTTGTAAACATCGTTAATCAATTTTTTTTCCTATTATCGATCTATTTAAATTAATTTCATCGACATTATATATTTTATTAAATCAATTTTTCGAAAATCTTATGATCGATCGGTAACGTCTCTTCTGCGAAGCTACGAGAGCATCCTCGACATCACTGATATTAAATTTGTCGTTCGACATTTGTTCATTGCAAAAACTCATTGGTGTGATTGAAATTGTGTTTTCTGAATATTTTCGTGAAAGAACATCAACGTTCTTCTTATATCTTCTGCTCGTACGTTTATAGTGTATCTTGAGGATCAGTGCGAGTTCTAAATAAGGGGTAAGTCGAACTGCGTAAAATCGGAAAGTTCTCGTATTCCATTGACGTAGGAATGATCAAATTTATGACGTATAGTTTGAAATTAAATATAGTCATATGTATATGAAAAATATTAACGTTTTGATAGAATAGTTGCAGAAATTTTTCCATAAAAATTTCCTTAGGAAAGGAAATCAAAGAAACAAAACATTGAACGATAAATTATTAATGTCAGATCTTTCATTCTTTTAGTAGATATATATGTATATTTGTATATATATATATATACGTTAAGTATATGTGTCTAGAAGGCGCTTATCGCGCAATTCACGCTTGGGTGATGAGAGATGGAGAAAATGAGGATAGAGTTGGCCGAAGTTGAGATACCGATGGACGACGGTTCATCGAAGAATATGGAGGTCGACGAGTACGGAGTAGAAGCAGAATTAACAAGTCTTTCGTGGCTACAATCTTTAGACATTACGAGTGCATCTAGTTTGTCAACGCCAACATGTTCGCCATCGCCTCCACCGGTAGTACGAAAGCCCCCGAAGAAGATGTCACCTTTACTTAAGGCAGAATTAGGTAATTAACATTACAAAGTAGTACATTAATGATGTACAGGAAAGATCTAACGCGTAACTCGACGAACCTAAATATTTCTCTCATTTCCATCGTTTCCTTTTTCATCTTGTTATTAGTAAAATACATTTGGGATAATTTATTTAATTGAATGTATACAGAGTATTTTGATGATACTCTACTGATAACACTCTGTTTATTTATGGAAATCTGCCATTGTTTTATTAAATAAAAATGATTACTCCGTCTTTCTTATCATCAGATCTCGCGGATAACGCCGATAAATATCGAGCAGATCCAGACGCAAAGCCACCATTCTCCTACGCCACGATCATATGTCTCGCGATGCGCGCGAACAACAACAAAGTGTCCCTGTCGAACATATATGCATGGATTCGCGATAATTTTTTATACTACAAATATGCTGATCCAGCTTGGCAGGTAATAGAATTAGCACCCAAGAATTTATTGGTAATCTTAATTTTCTTTTGTTATCCTTAGAACTCGATTCGGCATAATCTATCGTTGAACAAATGTTTCGTCAAGTTGCCACGTTCGAAAGATGAGCCTGGAAAGGGTGGCTTTTGGAAACTTGACTTGGAACGTATGGAAGAAGGTAAAAGAACGAGACGACGGGCCTCGACGACTCAACGTAATCGAGGATCGAGAAAACAACACAACACAACGAATTCAACGACAACAACGACATCAACGACGACAGCCTTAACATCGACGACATTGTCCCCTACTTTAACAACGAGCAATCATTCGTTGCAAAATAGTTATGTACCACCTACCACCTGTCTTTCCGCCCTTTACGAGACACCACCTAGTAGCGTTTCATCCCCGATACCAGACACACTCTCGGAAGTACCCGAATCAACGCAAGTTAATCTTACCGAAGATGATCTCACGGGTCTCCTAATCGCCACGGCAGGCTGGGATGAAAACCAGTTGGATCTCTTGGATTCCCTTTTAGATACTCTCTAAATTTTTTTTTCTATCACCAATATCTCTTCAAAGAAAATTCAGAAATAAGTTGATTGAAAATCATCTGTGGTGAGCTAGTAATTTTGTCATAACTTTTTGGAATTTCTTCCTAATTGATCGTATTTCAATTTTAATTTACTCGAGTAAAAAAACACGGGCGATTCTTTGCTGTGAACGATTTTAATTCACGTGTTATTAATAATCGATCGACTCACTGTAGAGCAGTTCATTAGAAATATATCGATGTCGTGTGAAAAAATCAAATAAATATTGAACTTATATCGAAGCGATGGAAGAACAAACGAACCATAAATACTTCTGTATCATTTGACGTTTCTGAAGCAGGAAGTAATTAGGTAATGTTAATTGTATAGTTTATCAAGAGTGATGAAATATTTTCGTTGCGTTTTGACTACATTGACGAAAAAATATGATTTCTTTCATTCTACGCTTATGTTTAAAATACAACGAACGAACAACGCGATTGTAAATAATTAGATATTTATTCATCGTTCAAAACTCGAAAGTAGTATTTCGATTTTGAATTAATTTAATAGCATTTGTTAAAATACGAATTACAAGTATAAAGGAGTCTCATTCAATTCGATCACTTAACAATTTTTCCATAAAAAAAATATATATTATATCCTTCGTTGGAAAGTTTTGCATATTACTCTTTCAATAAAAAAAAAAGGAAAAAAGCGAAAGAAAATTTTAGGTGATTTAATTAAGTGAGACAGGCCGTATATAAGTACGATCTTTGTTTTTAACTGTCAATGTATTAAGAGCACGGTTTGTATTTCTTTCCAATAAAAAAAGAAAAGCAAATAAACATATAAAATGATTTAATTAAGTAAGACAGGTCGAACGTAAGTATGATCTTTGTTTCGGACTGTCAATGTATTAAGAGCGCGATTTCTATTTCGCCCGCTCGAATAGATAAGTTTATTCATTATAAAATTGCAGTATAATCATTAGATATTTCTATTCTTACACAACGAGCGATAGTAATTAATGATAATGATAAATCCCCGTGAAAACGAAGAAGTCGTACTTAGCGAATTTTCTTTTCTAATCATAGTTGAGCAATGTTTGTCTGTTTGTAAAATAATGATACAGCAATACGTAAAATTCAGGTTTCGGATTGATCGAATAGCTCGAAAGATGACATCTTCATCTTCTTAAATATGATACTAAAAAAATAAAAATAAGTAATACTTAGATTAATAATCATTATAATTTCTCAATTTCGAAATCGATAATGGAAATAGTATCATTTGTGTAAAATACATTTCTAATCGTGTATAACTATTATTCATGTTGGTAAAAATGACAGAGTGCAGCACCCTTTTTTTTTTTAAATTTGTGATGCCGTAATATGGCAAGGTAAACATTACGAAGAAAAAGAAATCGATTGTATTACGCGAACGTAGAAAAAATATTACGAACGATAATACTTTCGATTTTATGCTGTCTCTCTCTCTTCCTTTCTACGTTTTACATTTTAATTCTGTTAGCTCAGAATGGATGATAATTCTCGAATCGATTTTAAAAATGTTCGATAACATAACTTCGTATATGGTTATTATTCTGCATACAAACGTAGTATCTACTTTTTTTATTTGTCGCATGATTTTATCTTCTTCTATAAAAGACTTCAATTATATATTTAATTATATTATTTTATTATATATATATATATATATATATCTTTAATATAATCGTAATTTATGATTTTTTTGGGGAGGGGGGGAGAAGGTTTCGAGTGTAAAAACAAAAAATATTTTGCTACGCTCTCAGGAAACGATGAACTTTTTTCTTGATAATGAATAAGATAGCGCGATAAAGTATTAGACATTTAAATGTTTGTTTTATCTATGGTTGACCGTGAAACATATATAAGTGTATCCACGAAGCCTTCTAGTGTATCCATCGAAAATTTAGAATCATATGACTATTTTACGAAGATCCTACTCTGTGGACTTTGAGAGCGTAAAAAGTAGGGATAGGCGGAGCAAGTGCACCATCCCTCTTGCGTCTGTGCCGTTCCGCAACCATTATCGACATGGCTGCATTATATTCTGTTTCGATATGTTCGCTTCTCTTTCTTTATTAGGCATCAGGTCGGACAGCACCCAGCCGTTCCAGCCAATCAGACATTCTTAGCAAACCCATTCTCGGCGTGGCCGCCCTGTGTAGAGGATGAGTCAACTAATGTTAAAACCAACCACCCAAATAAATTCTACAATTTTATTGTTAGAAACAAAATGTTTTAAGTAACAATTGTTTATTATCGACAAATCAGTCATGTTCTGGGGATTATTTTTTTCCCAGGTAGTGGTGTTTTAGAAGATTTAAAAGTCCATCGTCATTTTTTTAAATGGTATCGTGCCTTTTCGAGCCCCTAGAATTGTAGCCTTTTTCATGGCAATTTTAATGGTCATCTACATTCAAGATCATGAGCATTAAAAAAGTAGAAAAGTTTATCCTTTAGCTGATTCATCCTGTATGCATACTTTAAAGTTGTCATTTATAAAATAAGAAAAAAATATGAATTCGAGATCGTACGACTAGTGGACCAGATATATAACTTGCATTAAATGATATGTCTCTTGTAAAATAGATTTCACGATTAATCTTTTTTGCGTGGAGTGCACAATTGTAATTTGCAATGGTAAAATATTTTTAAGAGTATTACGAAGTTTCATATCGAAGCGTTTATCGTAACATTATGATTCATCCCTTATCTTATTCCGTCCTAAGTACGAAATTAATAATTATTGTAAATCGTGTGACTGTAATAATTGCGAGCGAAATGACGAAAAATAATTCACTTTTTCAAAAATAATCTTAGTGAACGTGAATAATTAATATTGTAACGATACATTATTAAAAATATCCACGTCTCTATCAGCCTATTATTTATAGTAAGTTATAATTTATTTAAATATGTACTAGTTGTGCGATTTGTCAAAGGACAATTGTGAATAAGCGCACCTTGAGAATCGGATATCCGTGGATTAAAAAACAAATAGAAAACATTGAATTTTTACGGATTTATTGCCGTCATTTTAAAGGACATCTAAAATATATAATTTCAAACGGTTCTGAATCTAGACGTGTAATATACATTATTTTTAATATAATATAGTTATTTATTAATAGAATGACAGGCGATATTTCGTAGAAATCGTAGTCTTTACATAAAGTATTATTGTGTGAATTGGCGCCATTTTTGAAACTGATAAAATTAATTCTTGTATAGTATGGCGCGTGTAGTAATCTATAAATATAATAATACTAAATTATTTCGTTTTTACTAGTACATTTTATTAAAATTCACAAAGTAGTTTTTTACACCGATTTTTGACTATGTAGATTTAGAATCAATTAAAACGATTACAAACGATTAGAAAGAATCATTTATTTATTAATGATAATTTTTCTTAACGATTGATGCGAATAACTTTTCATGGATTTGCATGTTCTTTTGAAGAAACTACTGTTATTCACTTCAGCTAGATATCGAGGATAATTAAACTTATTGTATAGACGTCGAGTGTAGAGTGTAGCTGTGTTTCTATCATTTATATTAATTAATTATATTAAATCAATAAAAAAAAGAAAGAGAATAAAGAAAGGATTAGTGACTCGGTCAGTACACAGAGTAGCCCGAGTGGTAAATCTAAATTACAAAAAAAAGGGAGACCGACAAAAGAGGTAATAGTTGAGAGAAGTAAGGTACAGAAAGAACTTCAGTAGAAAAAACTATACAAACAAAAGGGCCTTCAGGTACAAAGAGAAAGGCAGTGGGAAGAGATGGATGAAAAAATTGACGAATTGAGGAAATTAATGACGAAGCAATTCGGGAAAGCAAACAATATGACAGAGGAAAGTATTCGGACACTTCGTCAAAAAGTTCTACAGTATGACTAAAAATCACCAAGAGTAGAAGAGTGCATTTTATCAACTTCAAAGACCTAATTATTTATATAAAAAGATATCAATCTATTATCGCTATATTATAATTTAGCCGACAATGCAGATCTTTATCGGTAAAAGATAATTACCTTATTCAAAAAACTTAGTCGGTAAGAACTGAAAACTGTCTTACCAACGTAAAATCATACGTATTATATGTATTCTTTGATAAAATTAAAATTTGCTCCGTAGAAACGCTGGTAAGGAACCTTAACAGCAGAAAATAAATGAATAAGGTAAAAGCATATTACCAAACGGCGCTTCGATCACTTAAAATTCTGGTACAAGATCTGTTTCATTACTTTTATATATTTTTTGCAATTGTGTTTCTTTCTGTTAATTCAAACCTACAGAAATTAGTTAACCTAAACCGTATTAAGTGTTACTTGTTTACTGTTTGGTGTCATTGAGATACTGAAATAAAATAGAAGGTAAAAAAAAAGGATATTTTGCGAACATTTAATCGTGTTGGATATATCGTTCAAAATAAAATACATTTAATAATAATTATAACATTGGAAATATTTAAACATTTTGTTATTTTTTATAGTTACAATGGTCATGGAAGAACAGCATTCTGATATGGAATTAGCAGCAGAAAAAATTCCAGTACCACAAGTACAAAAACCAATTGAAATGCCATTAGTCGAAACAAATAATCAAGTAAAAGGTATATCACATAATAAACCAAGATTTAGAAAAAGAGCGTTGCATGCAGCTATACTTAAACAAATGGAATTTTATTTTTCCGATGCAAATTTAACTAAAGATCGATTCTTAGGAAACCTTATTAAGGAAGATCCATGTAAGAATAAGCTTTATTTAATATCTTTTATCAAGTTGTAAGATTTAAGAGCCCTTCTAATAATAACTAATATTGGAAATGATATATTATTTTTTATAGATATTGATCTCAGTGTCTTTATTAGATTCAACAAAATCCGAGAATTAACCACAGATATAAACAGGATAGCTAAAGCACTCCAAGCATCAACAATGTTATCTATTTCTGAAAATGGCTTAAAAGTTCGTCGTATAACTCCAATCAAACAAAAGAAAAATACAGAAGACTGTACAGTATATGTTCAAAATTTACCACCAGGTGCTACTCATGACTGGTTAAATTCTATTTTTTCTCAATACGGAAATGTTGCATATGTTTCTTTGCCTCACTACAAGATCAATAAAAAAATAAAAGGGTTTGCTTTTGTGGAATTTGATACACCAGAAGAAGCTGAAGAATGTCTTAAGGTAAATAATATCAAATAAATATAATATACGAGTTCTATTATAATTATAATGTGAATGCTTCATATTATAGGATTTTAAAAAAATGGATTGTCTTTTACCTTCACATACAAATCCTGATGAAATTTTAAGTATTACTACTTTTGATAATGCTGAAAAAGATGTAAATAATGAAAGTAAAGTGATAAAAAGAAAACAGGATGAAACTAATTTGTCTAGTGATATACATTCAAAAGCAAAGGAGTCTCGTATTGAAATAAAAAGTGAAAAGAAGGAGAATAAACTAACAGAAGAAAATAGCACTGAATCAAAAAAGATAAAAAGAAAACACAGCTCTGGAACTGATGAAGATACTAAAATTGCAGATGACAAGATTATGCTAGAACCAGATAGTAAAAAATTAAAAAAATACAATAAACATGTAAATGAAACTACAAATAATTATTCACATGAAATTGAACCGAGAAATGAAATTACAAATAATCAT